AGATTGCATGTACAGCAAGAGAAAAGGTGAGATTGTGCAGATTCTTAACTCTGGGTGTAGTAGGGGACACTGATTGTGTACTAGATTCCACAAAATTTAACTTAATTCACCAGTTGGTAATGCACATGGGTACTGGAACAGATTGCAGCTACTCTTAAGTTACAGAATGTTTGTGAAAGCCAAGTGCTCCCATAGTACCACCATGTTTCATATGCTTGCCTTGCCTTTAGGATGGCAAAGTCAGACTTGAACGGGAGCTTTGGGGTGGTGTGGCTTGTGCTTAGTCAATGGGAACCTGCCATAGGTGCTGTGGATTTCTTCAGCCTCTTGTGATCAGTCAGTGTCGTGGTGCTTTAACAGGCCTGTGTGACCTAAGTGCAGCACTCCAGAATTTCCTTTGCACCAGGAAGGATTACCAAACTCCAGAGTGTCCCACTGGAGACTTCAGTTCCTTGTTTGTTGTATTACTCACATCTCTATTAACACTTTTGGAATTCTAAATGCAAATCAGCTGTCTTCCACAAAAGTGTAATTGAGTTTTAAAAAAGCCAAGTTCTCTAAAATGGGCCTGTGAATTTGACAGAGTTTACATGGCTAGTGTTATCCAGTTTCCAGATGCCAGATCCCAATTCTGTAGGACAACGTTGAGTTCTCTGAAATCCTGCTGTAGTGATCACATACTTTACTGAATTGCTGAAATTTTTGGTTACACTACAGAGAGACTTGAGAGATCAAATCAGTGCAATGCTCTGTTTCTTTTTTTTTTTTTTTTTTTTTTTTTTTTTTTTTTTTTTTTGGTAACTTTATTTTATGTTTTTAAGAAGTCTTCAGAACTCCTTGAACAAAACTTAAGTCATATTGACCTGCATTGCATTCCCAGTCTTTATCAGCTCTCCTCTCTGGGCTTGGCCAGATGGCTCACAATTACATGGCTCAAAATCCACTCACTTGCACTCAGGCTGGGATGACTCCAGTGCTTTCCAGTCTGTTTCAATTCCCTTAGATATTTAAAACTGCTTGGAGTGCTCTCTCTGCTGGGTGTTATGCATACAGACTTCCTTTTATTAGGTGGTGACTTCTGGGGGGGAAACAAGGCCAAAGCCTCTGTAACTTCTTTGTTTCTATTTCCCTTGTCGTTGCACTCTGGGATGAGTTATTCTGTGGCTAATCTCAAATTGGATTAAATTACTTTTAAACCACAAGTTAATAATGTATGTATCCCTAAAGCTATTCCTATGGAAGGGGAGGTCCCAGGATAGTGAATCTAAGCTCCTTAGAAATGAGCTTGTTTTCAGCTGTGATCTGTGGACGTCTTAGAAGTGCAAAACATGAAGTAGTTCATCCAGCTAATCTAGAAAGCCTGCTAATCCAAGGAAAATAATTTTTAAAAAGTCCACTTTGCCACTGCTAAGACTTTGGAGGCATATGCTGAACACCTTAAATCTGTTTAAAACTTACAACATCTTATTTCAGTATTTAAACATAAAGTTACACATCCGTTAAAAAAAGTGGAGGTATTTCTTTGCCCAAGAGATGTGCTCAAATCCGTTTTGTTCCTTTTAATGTGTAATCTCGAAGTGTCTGATTGTGGCAGGGGGAACCACAATGGATCAACTTGTGTGAGAGCAGTGGTGCTTCCTTGTTTCACAGAGAACTTCCTGCGGTCCAGTTCAGTTGTTTTCATGGTAAATGCTGTTAGTTTTGTGTTTCAGAAAGGAGGAAAAAAACAAAAAAGAAAACAGCCCTGCCCAGGCACATCTGAATGTGCCACTCAATTCTGCTTTAGGTTCCAGAGCAAGGCTTTGGGTTATTTGGTCTCTGTTTTGTTCCCACTGCCAGAAAACTGAAAGTTTCAGGTCACCTGGTAGAAAAAGGTAACGTGTGCTGCCTCAGCCAGTGCAGTGCTGTGTGTGTTTGAGTCATTGGTGTGCACCATGCCAGTGCTTCCCTTCGGAAGGGAATTGCAGGTGCAGAGGGAACGAGCAGTGCTCTTGTAGATGCTCTTGGTTTGCAGTGCTGGTGTTCTCTGCAAGACAAACAGTGTGGCTGGGTCTGATAGCTCAGAGCCAGAGTCAGAGCTGTGGCAGGCTCGATGGCAGCTGGGTGTAAGGTGTTTGTGTGCAGCTGCTGCTGTGGCAGCCACGGTCTCTGAGCCCTTGCCAGAGAGCAGCAGCTTCTGTCCCAGTGCCAGCGTGGGGACTTGGCTGTGGCCAAGGACAGGGAAGAAGTGAAGGTTTGCGGCACACTCTGTGCCCTGAGACACTTTCTAGTATTGTGGCTTGCTTGGTGCTCTCTGAAGTAATGAGTTTTAGAGAGTAATACTAAACCCATATTTTTTCTTTTTACAAGGGTGTATGTGAGTTTTTCTGGTAATATACAATATTTGAGTTTATAGAGAGTCATGGGTTGGTTCACTGCAGTGAGCACAGGGAATGCTTCAGAGCCAGGATTTTATCTCTAGTGTGCTTTCTGGGCTCTGGACAGGTGGTCTGAAGCAGACGTGTAACCTCAAATGACAGGTAAACAGGGAAATGCAAATAATTGGGGAGGTGGGCGGAGGAGAGAGGTGGAACAGGAAGGGAGGATTACAGCATGGAGGAGTTCTGATCTGCCCAGGAGAGAGCTGGGTGGACAGAGTGCTTCTCTAAAGGGTTCACTGTAAGTGCTGTTATGTGAGAGGGATGTTCCTCCATTTCTGCCAGCCCTGGGGCGAGCAGGGGTTCCAGGGACTGGCTGGGCAGTGTAACAAATTCAAGTGGAAGCTGGAAAAAACATGAGAAGTGGCTGGGAAACCCAGTGTGGAGATTTGTTTTGTACTTCATTTACAGGAATTCCTGGGGGCAGCAGCTTACCTGCACTGGGCAGTGGCAGAGCTGAACACTTTGGGCTTTGCCCAGCCCAAAAGGCAGGTGGTAGAATTGTCTTGGCCATATGAGTGGGCCACAGTGGTGACTGTGGCTGGGCTTAGCTGGAATGCACTTGGGTTCATTTGCTCTGTCTGAGTTTTGGAGTGTTTTCCTTTTGAAATCACCTTAATGAGTGGCTCATCCCTTTGCACCTTTGCTCTCTCTGAGCATGAAAACTTTCTTAATGTGACCTGAGCTGTGCCACTGAATTTTTTTTTTTTTTTGGTTCCGAGGTGACACTTTGTCTGGATCAGTCAGTGCTGACGGCATGGCAAGGCAGAGCAGTGGGAGCACTTTGCAGCTGAGGCAATATTGAATGATAGTACTTGGATATAAACAGTTGAACTGGCCTGAACACAGAAGATGTCTTTTGAAATGTAAATAGTTGCTTTGTCCTTCTGAGTAAATATGTGTTTGCTTCAGGGCCAAATTGCAGAGCTTTTTGTTGCATTAATGAGGGGCCTGTTGATACTTTTGCACAGTGCATCCTGCTGGATGTCTGCTGGGAAATTGAGATCTGCATAAATCAATAAGATCTGTTGATATTGAAATGGGGCACCAGGTAGAGGACTGGTGGCAACACGTGATGTGTGCACACATCATTCATTGTCTCTGTGCTTGCTGAAGGAAGGTTTCTAGATGAGGATGGCAGTGTGAGTGCCTGGTGTACCAGGTGCTGACTGATGGCCTGCTCTGAGAATCTTTGCTGCCATTTCCTAAAACTGCTTTTGGTTTTGTCTGGGACTTGTGGGAATGGTAGTGATTAGTATTCCCCTACAAATACTGTTCTTAGGAACTCTTCAGGATGTTTATTATGCAGGTAGCTGTCTTTCTTGGAATCTTAGAGCATCCCTGCAGTATCTGAAGAAGAGCTGGGGGTGGTATCTTTCTTTTGAATCTCTAGCAATTTGCTTTCCTTGCAGGCATGATTGTGTGATACACAGTATCAAATCGAGTTGCTGGCTGCGACTAAAGCCTCAAAAATCTGGATTTGCACTGTATTTTATTTACATGACTGTAAATCCCCAGCAAGTGACCAAATGCATGGTTCAGGAGGGGTTGATTTGGAATTTTAATGCAGTTACCTTGACCTGCAGTTAGGCAGACCTGAGAGCCATGGCAGCATCCCTGCTTAGCTAAAGCTTTGCTATTCCTATGATGGCGAATTTGCAGCTTGCAGCACCCCCTGCCGCCCCCCCCCATCAGGACTTTCCAAAGACTTTTATCAAGTTTTTGTTGCTGTAAGTAAAAGTATTTTGGATGATGTTATGCTGACAGTCAGTGAGAACTTTGCCACTAATTTCATGGGGTCAGGATCTCACAGATCTATGTGAAGGCATGACCAGAGGCCTGGTACACCTCTAATTAAAATAATATACAGATGAAGGACAGCTGTGCAATATTGGAGATAGCCTGGAAGTGTTTGGAGGAGATTTTGGTGATACATACTGGTTTAGTTCATGTACTAAAGTTTTTGCTGAGACATTGTGGGAGTAGCTGGGTGCATTTGGATTTTTGATGTCTGAAGAGTAATCCCCTTGGGATCTGAATGCCCTGCTGAGCTCTCAGTGCTGTTAACACTTCACTGTGGATATAAAAATGTGTGTTAACTAGCAACTTTAACCAGAAAATTGTAAAACGGTGCTTAGGTCTTTAAAAAGGCAGAGAAAGAAGAAAATATTTTTTTTCTGTCTGTACATGTACATTTTTATTCCATAAACACTGCTGGTGTGTCTCATGCTGAGCTGCTCCCCAGGGAGCTCTCTGGGAGACAGGTGTGTTCCTGAGCAGCTCTCAAAACCAGAGCTTGCACTTCCAGCTTTCAATGTATCTGGGGCTAGATGCTTCCATTCATAAAATATCAAGTCTGGAGAAGCCCAAAGATGTTTTTGCTCACTTCTGGGTAACTAGGCAAAATTCTTTCACTTATGAATGTGTGCAGCTTTGTGTGTGTGGTGGAGGAAAAGGATCCACCAGCTCATTCATATCTCACATGTGCTGTCAGTGGTTTGGGCTCCTGTGAAAGGTGATGTGCATGATTGTCTAGTGCATATGGGAAACATCTAAATATATCTGTCTTTTTTTTTCTTCTAGGTTCTCTTTGGAGTTGATACTCTAGTAGATTTCAGCTATGCAGACGATCAAGTGTGTAGTAGTGGGTGATGGTGCTGTTGGTAAAACCTGTCTCTTAATTTCTTATACAACAAATAAATTCCCATCGGAGTATGTACCAACGGTAAGTGTGAGAATGGCTCCAGCTGTTCTTTGAGCATGGTGGGGTGGGGTAGCATGAGTTCCCTTTTGGGCTAACCTTGATGGCATGCATGCCCTAATATGTGTTCTTGGAGACTGACTAACACAGTCTGGTACCTGCTGCTGCCTTCTGGTAGTGCTGGGCAGTTCACCTGGATCTGGTCAGTTCTTGCTGCTTGACCTCTCTGCAGAATCTGTGTTTTTGTGGATGGATTCTGTGAGTGAGATAAGCAGTGTGAACAACTGCAGACCAGTGGAGAGCAAGCAGTAGGAACATGTGCTCTCACTTCCTGCTGCATCTTTGTTTTTATGGAATGGAGTGTTTCATTTTGCTAGAACAGTCAGTGATTACAGTTAATATTTTCTGAGACTCATTTTTCTTTTGCATCTCTGAAAGATCCAAAAGTGTAGTGAATTAAGGAGGGTGACTGGTAAACTCCAGCTAAGTATGAGGAGTGTGTTTGGATGCAGCCACATTCTTTTGTACTTCTAAATGTATGTGTAGTCCTTAACTCTATTGAAGTAACCTTTTTGAGTTTCACTGGCTCAATTTTCTGAAATACTGAATCCCTTGACTTATTCAAAGTTCAAGTTGAGAGCAGTTTGGCTGCCTGTGAGGCATGTACACAGGTTTCCTGTTGGAAAATTGCTTTTCTGCTTGATATTACATATGCAAGATCAGTGTACTGCCACTGAGGTGGGTCAGTTTTTAGTGAGGTTGCTGCAAGACACTGAATGCTGGATGCTCTTTTTACTAATTTTCTCTGTTATGGACCTGAAAAGGCCATCTTCTATTAATATACAAGTTGAAGAGTTTATCTCTGTATCCCAAACAAATTTGGATCTGGAAGTGCATCACAGAGAACATGTGCCAGTGAAATAGTTGGTAATATTCTCTGTGTTACAAGGTAACTCAGAAGACCAGGTAGCTCCTCTGAGATGCCAGATGTCTGTTTTGAAGGCCTTCAAGTTTGTCTTCTGTCCTGCACACAGTAGTACTGACTGTAAATCTCTGCTAAGAAGGAATGTGGAAAACTTGCTAAAAAATTAGTTGCCAGTGAAGTGTGTTCAAGGTGTGCTAAGGCTTCTTTATAGTGCCTTTTAAATCTGCCTCACGTTTCCAAAATATTATTTACCTCTGAACTTCATGGCTGGAGGAACTTGCTGTTCTGGAGATATCAGAGGCACATTCCTAATTCTGTGAATAGCCTAGAGGCGTGTTTCAGACTCTGGAAACTGGTACATAACCTCTGATATTCCAGTTAATGCTTCTGGTAATAAATGGACAGAGAAATAGAACACATGCTGCTGTCCTTGTGCTGTGCTTGTGCAGTGGCCTGGCCACAGAATGGATGGAGAGCACATCATTTCAGACCAATAGATAGTTCTGTTCAGTTGGCTTTGTGTTTTGCAATCCTTTCTCTTCATGAAGGAAATCTCCCAGTGGAAGATGGGTTTCATGGTGGTACTGCACCATGATTTGTGACCTGTGTGTTTTTGATGTTGTTGCCATTGTCAGAAATCAAGGCAGTGAGGGGCACGTCCTCAGAAAGGCACTGGTGATGTTTGGGTTGTGGCAGCTCAAGTGTGAGTCCTGTCCCATGAGAGCTCATGCCAGCTGCTGCAATGGGCTGTCTGGCTTTGGCAGGAACTGAAACTTCTTTGAGCTATGGTTTTTAGCCATTTTGGCACAACTGAGGATGCAATGGTCTGTGAATTGTGCTATGAGACTATAGTTGCCTGGTTTTTTGTCAAGGCCAGCCTTGTAACCCTGGCCTTTTTAGGGCTCTCTACCCCAAACATTTCAATAGAAGCTGTACCTTAAAAATACTGGAATTAAAAAATCCCATTCTGCAGATAGGGAGCTTTAAAAACAAAAAAAAAATATGAGAAAGGAGAAATGCTAATTGCCCTGAAAGGGCAGCTAGAGGTGGTAGCTGAACAAAAATGAGAGAATATTGCTGGGGGATTGAGCTGCTGACCATCTGACATCTGACATGTGGAAGAGCAAATGTTCTGACCTTCATCATTCTGGTTCCTTGTTCTGTTCCTAGGAACAGAGGAGTCCTCATCCTGATCTGTCTTTGGAGGTCTTGTGAAAAAACTTTTCACCCTCCCTCAGCCTTGAGGTGTGATTTGGAGCTGGGCACGTTCTTGTGTGTTCAGTAAGGCAAACCCAGTGCAGTGTGTGATGGATTGGACTGCAGGTAGTGGAGATGAGTGGTGAAGTCTCTTGCAGTGCTTTAAAATCTTCAATGTGCTAATTCAAAATAGTGTGAGAAGTGGATTTTTGCTTCTGGATGATGTTCTGGAGATATGCAATGTGCAGTGGCCATAGTTGCTTTCTCAGTCATTTTAAGTTGTGTAAAGTTGAAAAAATTAGGAGTAGTGTCAGGTCTGTCTTTAACCATGGCTGTCAGGTGGGAAGGAGACTTCTGAACTCTGGGGAGTACAGTTTGGAGCAGTCTCACTGCTCTTACCTCAAATTTTGGTTTGTTTTTTTTTTTTTCTTCCCCAAAGAACCTAAGCTCTTACTATATTAACAATACACGCACGTGACTGCTTATTTTGCACATCCCACCCTTCTCACTTGCATGAAAAGCCTTTGAGGTGGTTGCTGACCTCTTTCCTGTTGGGGTTTACTTCAGCTATAAGAGCTGCTCAGGCTGCAGTTCTGTGAGGAAGCAGAACTTCCCCATCATCATTCAGAGATCCTGACTGGCCCCAAATGACCATGCAGCAACTTGGAGGGACAGGTGGTGCATTTGGGGTTTTCTGCAGTGGGAAGGATCTTTTGCCAAGGATACTTTCTGCAGTAGTGTCTGTTGTGGTTCTGAAGATAACATGGGTATTGGATTGAAGGGTGCTGACCTCAGACAGTGCTCTGCTGAGTGGGTGGATGTTGGAGGTGAGCTTTTGGCTAGGCCCTTGTGCTCAGTTGTTCTGTAAACCACTTAGTGAGTGAAGCACTGGGTAGTGCTGGTTTTAATCTGTTCAATGTCCTGGAGGGCAGTGCTATTGTCCCAGGTGCTGCTGCAGAGGAAATAGAACTTGTATGTGGAGCCAAACTCTTCTTTTAGATTGAATTTGACACAGCTGATTTTTATCAGATACTGCTTCCTTCAAAGAAGGAGCATAAATCCCTCTTGAAAGGATAGACTCTATTCCTTAGATATGCAGAAATTCAGACTTCAGAGGATTTGGGTCCTGTGAGGTGCAGCCCCATCACTGTGCCCATGAAGGGCAGGGCTGCCATTACCCATTCTGTCCTTGTGGGGATGTGTTACTGTGTCACCCTAAGGTTGAAGTTTGGAATTTCTGTGGCAGTGTGGGAAACCTCCTTGCAGAAACAGGCAAACACTGCTGTAGGTGTTTGCCCAGTGGTTTTTACCTTGTGTTATTCAGTGATGTACCTCATATGCCTTTGCTTTAGTATGTAATGGGAACAGCTGGAGTATCCCTATTCCATATGGAATTGTTCTGGTAATGGTATTAGTGGTAACAGCACTGTAAGCCAGATGGTTCTGTTTTCCTGTAAAGGTATCTCTTGTTCAAATCAGAGGTGCTCTGACAAGGTGGGTATGATGATGGTTTGAGAGATGGCTTATTCATGTGTCTTTTCTTGCCAGGTTTTTGATAACTATGCTGTAACAGTGATGATTGGAGGAGAGCCTTACACCCTTGGCCTCTTTGATACTGCAGGTGAGAAACCAAGTGCTTGTGTCATTGTACTTGACCAAGATTTATCTGAGGTGATGTTGAACATGAAGACATACAATTGTTTTTGTTTTTTCCTTTTTTTTGGTTGAGATTTTTTTTTTTAATAGAAAGGGAAAATGTCTCTTGATTCTGTCAAGTCAGAGTGACTAATATTAGAAGCTCTTAAATGTGTGTATGTCTCTGCATCCTTAATGTGGATGAAGTTCCAGGTGTAGATTTCATAAGCCCTCTCACTGTGTGCTTTTAAAAACTAAAAATCTGCTGCCCTCTTGTTTAAGCCACATCTCAGTTTTAGGCTGGAGAAACGTGTAGTGATGAAACAGCTAAACATTGCTTTGCATGTGGAAAAAGTTACCAAGAAAGGGTAGAAACTGGTTCAGCTGCTGGGTACCCAGTCCCTACTGCCTAATAATACTGAAGTGATGTAGCAGCAACTGGTATTGTAAACTCTTCTTCAGAAGAGCCCTTTAGAGAGCTTAGTTCATAAACTTTCATCTAAAATTGTCTGATATAATTTAGTCTGACTGTTTCCAGCCGTGTTCTTGCATGCATAATTAGTGTCTGATTTGATTAATGAAACAATTTTAGGCTTCCAGTATCCTGTAGCTGTTAAAGAAACTTTGCTGTTTGGCCATCTGGTCACACTTCACCACCTGAGCTGGGACTGGAGCCTGTTTGTAGTGGCAGCTCCAGTGACCCAGTGGGGCCTCACTTGATTCTCAGCGTGCACCACACTTCACAGTCACACAGGGACTCCTTTCTGCCTCTGCCCCAGGTTGCCCACAGATGTCTCAGGCATCCAGATCCTTAAAATTGGATGGTGGTGCAAAACCAAAATAACAGCTTGAGCTAGTGCCTCTGGGAAGAGACCCTGAACAAAGCAAACTGTGGGTTTCTGTATCCCTCACAGCGTGTTTGAAAGTCTGGGGGCTTGCAGCTGAATCCTCGGCTCCTGCTGTGTCTCTGAATGTCCCTCAGCTGCCTGTGCCACTGGTCCCTGGGCCCTTTGTGGTGCAAAGGGTCAGTGCCAGCTCACCTGGGGCTCCCAGACACCCAGAGCTCAGCCTGCAGCTGGACCCTGAGCTGTCTGTACTGAGTACATTCCTCACCATGGCTTCACTTAGCTCTCCATGTTCTCCTCCCAAATGTGAATTGTGTTCCATTATTGTAAACTGCCTGGTTCATGAGTGAGGAGTTGGGTGGAAAAGAGGGGCTCCTTCCTGACACACGTTGTGTGGTGTGCTCTAGGGATCTTGGTGGTCCTACAGCAGTTGTAGCATTGCACGGTCCCTGTGTGGGGAGTTGTGTTGGGTCCTTCTCTGCCTGTTTTCTGGCTGAGGGTTCACACCTCTGAGAGGTGTTGTGTGTGTAGTTACACACATTCATCTGTTATCAGCATGAGCAGTGATCCAGCTAGTGATGTTGAGAAGTTACCAAATGACTTTAATGCATGTAAGTGACTTCGTGCCCTTGTGAATGCAAAGGCTTTCTGTCCAGAGCTGGACTGCTGAGGGGGAGCTATTTGTTCTCAATGGTTGCCTGCTTTTTCTATATAGCAGCCAGCACAGGTGACAAAATTTAACCATGTATGAAACCCCTATTGCTAGTTCTCAGATTAAAACCCAAGTTTTTGTTTTGAGCTTGTGCTTGGAAGACAGACTTCTGGAGTAGTCTGTTAATTGCAACAAGGTATTTTAGATTTAGATTAGATTTTATCCCCTCCAAAGAGCAGGGTTTTTTTTTGCAGGGTAATGAAATTTGATGGGATAATATTTGAAATGAATGGACTAGCGCAGAGGACCTAATCTGTAACTGGATCCACATTCTGCATCTTTCCTTTCTAAATGAAGAGAGTGTTATGCAATCTGAGGGTGTTTGATCTCAAAATGTATTGGAGACTTCCCAGCTTTCCTGTGACTTTCAGCAGCTTACTGTTACGTAGCAACTGAATGAATTCTGGATTTGAAACATAGATTTTTCAAATATTTGAGTTCACTATATGCTTGGCTCTTTGCTTAAGAGTTAGGATTAATCACAGCAATGTTACTGTGATGAAATGTGCATTCTGACTCCCTGTAAAGGGCAGGATTTTGTTTTCTGGGTCTAATACAGTGTTAATTTCCTCCTTTCTAGGTCAGGAAGACTATGATAGATTACGACCCCTCAGCTATCCACAGACAGATGTATTTCTGGTCTGTTTTTCAGTGGTCTCTCCTTCTTCATTTGAAAATGTGAAAGAAAAGGTTGGTTGAACTCTGCTTGAAAAGGGAGCTGCTCAAGTGTGTCAGCAGTTATTTTAGGTGGTTAGTAACAAATGCTGTGTCTCTTCTGTCTTTAGTGGGTACCTGAAATTACTCACCACTGTCCAAAGACTCCTTTTCTGCTTGTTGGGACCCAAATTGATTTAAGAGATGATCCCTCAACAATTGAGAAACTTGCCAAGAACAAGCAGAAGCCCATAACTCCAGAGACTGCTGAAAAGCTGGCCCGGGACCTGAAGGCTGTGAAATACGTGGAGTGCTCTGCACTGACACAGGTAAGGGTTGGTCTTTGACCATTTTTGCTTGCTTTTATTCCATACTTTTTTCAGTTCCAGGGAAAAACAGCTCAATGTGGATGTGAAGGGGTGTAAGCTCTGCTTCTGCTATTTACACTGTATCTTTCTCTTTGTCATGTTGTTCTAAGGCACAGAGAGTTGGCACTAATACAAAGGAAATCAGCCTGTATGGGTTAGGCCTATGTAGAGGGGTGATGGAGGAGGATGTGCTTACTGTGTTTGCTTCTTCGCTGGAAAAAAATAACTGTTGAAAACTTAGAAGGTACATTATGGACAATAATAATTGGGTTGGGACACAGAGTGCATCTCACTGCTGAAACAAGCAGACAAAGGGCAAAAAAACCCTGTCATTAAAGTTACTGCTGGTGCTTTTAAGATCGGAAACCTTCATAGTTGAGTGCTGCCTTCTCTTCCTGTGCAGCTGGTGGTGAGCTGCTTCCTGTGTCCTTCCTTCAGACAGAAGTTCTGTTGAAACAGAAAATAACAGTTAAATAGTCCTTAAGACAGTCCTTACATCATGTTTATAACTTGTGAATGTGAGTCAAGAGCCAACTAAATTAGCTGACTTGACAGCAAGAAACTCAATTGTCTTTTCCCTGTCAGTTAGGGATACTAGAGTGGGAGCCATTTTCTGCCTAGCTGACCTGTTGCCTTGACTTTGGGTGCTCTGGGAACTTAATCCTAGGTTCTTACTCTTGCAGAATTGTCTATAACTCTTTTAACAACTTCCTTAATGCTGGTCTGTAAAGAATTTGTTCCTCTCTGATGTGTGTGGAATCAGGGATGTACAGTATCAAGCCTCTCACTCTTTCCAGTTGCATTGTGCATTCATCTCCTTGAGCACAAAACTTTATTACCAAACTTCACAAAGCCTGAAGTTCTACTTATCTTGCCCCTTTTGCCCAGATTGCATGTTGACTCTTCCATTTAAAATCCTCAGGCTATTTTTTTGTAACAAAGATTTTCCTGGGTGTCTCCTGTGAAGGAAGTGGCTTTGTGAAGTTGTGCAGGACACTGGCACTGGAGTTGGTGTGGTGAGGCATGCTGCTGTTCCTCCTGGCAATCCCTGATCTGAAGGTGCTCTTGGCCATGCTTCCTAACTGCCCACAGGCAAGCTGAGGGCTATTTATGCTTGAGAGCTGTAATTTTTCTTGGATCTGTTCAGCCCCAAAATACTGTTTTAGATGCTGTCTGGCACAGCCTGAATGCTGCTGATAACTAGGCTGTAGAAGCTGCTAGTTGGGTGAATACCTGCTAGGGCCTTTGTCCTGTGTTGCTCTCTGAGACCCTTTCCTCTGTACCTTTGGACTTGAGCTTTTGTCTACTCAGATTGCCTGGAATCACTTAGAATTACCAGAGCCAGAGCTGATATGACAAAAAATGTCAGTGTTTATCCATTCTTTCTATTTCCAAATAGACTAATCTGTATCTGTTGCAGTGAACAACTTCATGCACTTGGAAGCTCAGCCTGAATTTTCTTCCAGAGTGTTAGTGCTTGTGTACCAAGTGATGATTTTAAGAGTCAGGAGTGACATGGGAGGAGGATTCAGAACCTTCTCACCTGGACAACTAGTCGGTTTGCATCCAGTCCATTCTTCTCCCTTCATTTGTTGTTAACTCACAAAACACTTTTTTTCTGGGTCTGTCATCAGTAGCTGGTGAACAGCAGTGTAGCTGATCTGGGAAGGGTTGTGTGGAGCTCCTGCAGTGATCTCACTGGCAGCTTGCTGAGCACAGAAGGCAGCTGCTTTCCTGGCCAGGAAGGTTTTCCTACCTGCAAGGCAATGCTGTAGTACCTGATTTCAGGTGAAGTGAGACTCTTTCTTTGCCTTGGATGCTGTCTGTGCAGTTCACCTCAGCAGTCCAGGATGGTTTTTTTCTTCCCAACTAATTTACTTTTAATTACTCTGACCCCATAGTAGCAAATACTCATAGAATCATTGGCATTATTTGTTTTTGTACTGTGTGAATCATGAGAGGCTGAGTTCCTGAGTTTTTTCTGTAAAGACAGAGTATCTTCTCCCCAAGTTTGGATGACTGCTCTATTAGAGAGCCAGTTCTATCCCCCTTTCTTCAGGTTGTGGAATCTTCTTGTGATGAAGGCATTTTCAGTGGCTGTCTCTAACCTTTCACAACAAAATAGGGCCCAGTGCCACTGTGACAAGTAGATAAGGCTTTGCTGTTAGGAAAGGGTGACTGACAGATTGCAACTACAGTAATTGTTACTTCTGTTACTCTTGAGTACAAGTGTCTGGACTTTCTGAAGCCCAGTCCTAGTACCTAACACCAGAGAGAATGCTGAATTTGGTTTCTTTTTCCTCCTGATGGTGGGTTGCCAGTTTTGACACAGATTTATAAAGTGCCTTAAGTGTCCATAAGCAGAGGGAGTAAAGGAAGGCTGATCTCAGCCTGTTCCCAGTGTAACACAAAAGTCATGATTTTAACAGGCTTGTGTGCCTGTGGTATTGAACACAGTTACACTTCATGTTGTTACTTTTGATCATCCAGGCTTTTAATCCTGGTCCATTTGCACAACCCTTTTGTCCCAGTCCTTTTTTCTTATCCTCTTCCCTTTTTTGCTAGGTTCTTCAAAACAAATCCCAAATTCTGCACTCCTGAACCATTTTCTTCCAGGCAATACAAAAATAAGAGGAATCTCTGAACAGAAGAATTTAAGTAAAAATGTTTTCTTGACTCTTGTCCTGCTTGGGTTCTTAATCTGTCTAACAGTACATAATTGATTTTATGCTACGGCCTTATTCTCACAGAGAAAGGAAATCTTATTACTATTTAGACTTCAGGGGCATTGTTTATCTGATGTCTTTAGCTCTTTTGTGGGCCTGAGTTGTAACTCATTTAAAGAAAAAGAAAAATTGCTGGGGAGGGTGTACAGAATGCACATTGCAGTTTCCTTAAACTATTGTTCTTTCAAGTATAATCTTGCATGTAATGTGATGGCCTTAAATGCTTCCAGATGGCACTGCCTTAGAGGTCTCCTGTGTATGTGCTCCAGTAAAACAAGATTAAAGACCTTCTAAAAGGGATGTATCCAGTATAACCTGTAAGGGAGAAACCAGTTACATTTGAATGATCTTAAAAGAAGTCTAAGCTTTGCACACACTGCAGTTGTTTACAGGATGGAATTGAAGCTCTTCTGTTTGCCTTTAGCTGTAGTAAAGCAGTTCTCCTGAATTTTTGAAGGGTGCACTCATGACAGTAAATTTAGGCGAGTCCAGTTAGCCTAAACTGAGCCAGGTTTCACTTCTAGTGTGGTGTGTCACTTGGCATAGCTGGGTGGGAGTGGTAACGCCCTGCACTGTTCCTGTTGTGCTTACAGCAAGCTCCGTGCTCCGGTGTAACCCCTGCAGAGTCCTGCAGCTCTGTCACTGCTTGTGTGCTGTTGGATCCCGGTGGTTGCACTCCTAACGCTGTTCCTGTCTTTCTGTGGTTACACTTGCTTTGGCAACTAGACTGAATAACTGAAATGCACCATTTCCATGCTGGCTCCCAGTGTCAGAGTAGCACTGGTAAGGTATTGCATCACTTCTAAAGACTGAGAGTTAGTGACTGCCAGTGATGATGGCTTACCAGGGTGGTCCTGCTTCCATCCCAGCCTGTGTGTTCCCAGCCATTTGGAGACTTCAGTTATTCAGGGGCTGAATTCACAAAGCAGAGGAGTTGTTTGGAGCCTTTGCTCTGGACCAGCTGCCACCTGGGAAGTTGGGATGAGTAGTCTGTGCATCTGAGGTGTTCACTTATCCACAGTGGGTGACAACAAAAGGTTTAACTGACCTTTTGGGTCCCTGTGGTGGGGCAAGCTGCTGTGTGCTTGATTTATTCCCCTGTAAACTCCCTCAATGTAGTACAGCAGTGGAGTGGAAACCATCACCCTTTGTGTGGCCCTGTCCCCGTGTTCTTGCTGTGTTTGTGCCTCTGCCCTTCTGAGTGTTGATTTTGTCCGATTTGGCCTGTCACATGTTCTGTCTGTCTCTGTCATTGACTTCTGGGTAATCTTAATGAGATTTTCTCCTGGGATCTACTTTGTTTTTTTGCAAAGTAAATCTGTTTACTGCTTCTGTGAATTCAGCCTGCTCCTGAATGCTCTTTGTATCTGCTTGTTTTTCTCTAATCCTCTAACCTGGCTGCTGTTTTTTCTCCTCCCCTCTGTCTTGTAGAGAGGTCTGAAGAATGTGTTTGATGAGGCTATCCTAGCTGCCCTCGAGCCTCCGGAAACTCAGCCCAAAAGGAAGTGCTGTATATTCTAAACTTTCTTCTTCCCCTCTTGCTGCTGCTTCCTCTGTCCCACTACTGTAGAAACCTGGTTAAAAATGAATCAAACCACCTTGATTGAAAGCTGTTGTGCCTGCTTGCCATCTTAGAGCAACCTCTGTATTAGCTCTTGGACTGAAAACAGTACTTGAGATCTTTAGTAAAACATTGTGACTGTGGAACGTGAACTGGACTCGCTTAACTCCCTGCTGCTTGGGTTGCCAGGTGTGGCTAGCTTTATAATTCAGGCTGTTGGGGGAAAGGATTTGGTTACATCGTTATTTAAAGAACGACCAAAAAAATAAGAGATAATGTTTGAACTTCCTGAATCCAACTGGAAGAAACAATGCGTGTGTTTTCCATTTCTACTTGTGGCTCTTAACTGTATTTGCATGAAAAAGTACCTGAACTGGTGATCTGCAAATGATGCTGTAACGTGAAGGGTTTTCTGGTTCTCCTGTGTGCAGTGAGATGTTTTCTGTTGCTGTTGCTTTGGCTGTCTGTGCTATAGTGGAGTATCTGTCAGTCCTTGGGGGGAAGGAAATATTGATGTACTTGCTACTGCTTTATGAACTGTTAAAATTCTTGCTTTCACTAACATGGTAGAGCTCTTAATTTCAATAATAGATCCTTAAAGCCTGTTACTGTAAGATGTAAAGCTGCTGCTTACTATCGTACTTCTGATTTTTATTGTTTTAAGGAAAAACTATCAATTGTAGCTTGTCTTTAAATTTTGAAATTAAAAATTGCAGTTGTTTGTATAAATGACTGATGAAGCTTTATTCAAGTTGCATTTCCTGGCTCCAGTTTAATCCTTAACAGAGTGTATGGTACCTCTCTGTACTTCTCTCAGCTTGACTTCTCTGCTACCGTGGCAGCTTCTGGGCTCTGCCTGGCTGCTTCTAACCCTGGGGTGTTTGGGGCTGGATGCCCGACCAGAGCATGTACTGGACCAGGTTATCATTGCATGCTTGCCTTGTCTCCCCTCCACTGACACACGGGTGTGTGTTGTCCCAGACGTGCTCCAGGTTGAGCTCTTCCATCTGAATGCAGCACTTTCTACTTTATCATTAGCATGTGAAATATGTGAGTAGCCAGTTACTCATAAAAGCTGCCTTAAGGAAATTTCTTTGGTGTGTGTGTTTTGCTACTTGTGAAATCCACCGGTCTGCTCTCTGAGGATTACTTTTCTTGTTCTGAAAATGAGATGCTGTGCTCAGAAGCTGCTGAGAGCAGTGGTAAGGAGGCTTTGGGGATGGCACATCTCCACGTGTCCTTAGAGGGGTATGGCTGCCACTTGACTTTGTGGGGGTTTTGTTTGTGTGTGAAAACTCAAAAATGAGAGTGCCCCTTTCTCTGTTTGCCCCTTTTCAGAAAGGCCTAAAGAATGTATTTGACGAAGCGATATTGGCTGCCCTGGAGCCCCCGGAGCCGAAGAAGACTCGCAGGTGTGTGCTGCTATGAACGTCCCTCCACAGCCCCTTCTGCAAAGCTGGTGTTTGATGTCATACTAAAAGCAATGTTAAAAATCAAACTAAAGATACAAATTTTAAGATTTGTTTTTGCAATAATGACAAATGCCCTGCACTCCCATCTCCCCCACACGATCCCTGTGTGAGATGAGAATGTTAGTGTTTATTCCCCAGTGCCCTCTCAATTCAGTTAAACTAGTTAATTTTGAGTAATTATGTATTATCAGAAGACACTGATCATTACTAGTTTTTTATTTTGTTTATTGTTTCTAATTTTTTTTTTTTGTTTAACATCAAGGCATGCTCAATGACTTTTTCTGTAATAGACTAATTTTAGGCTGTTTAACTGAAGTCTTGCGCCTTACGTTGGTGTGGCAAGACTGGTTCTGGTTTCTAGACCTTGTAGGGCTGTCCTGCAGCCAGCCAGCAGCCTGGGTATGAGCAGACTTTAGTCAGGAAAGCAAAATGTCCCAAGCTGGTGCTCCTCTAAGAAGGATTGTAGAAAATACATCTTCTCTGAAGTTGCCTTGTATCTTTTTCCCCTGGCTTTTTAACTGTGCAGGTCATAAGTTTATACCCAATCCTCTAAGTTACAAAGCCTTAGGAACAGGAGAATGAATTTTTTTTTTTTTTTTCTCGATGTACCATCAGACTTGAAACTAACTTGCTGGTCTCTTCCTTAATCTTTGCCATCATAATCTTTTGGCTCATGATGAAGAAATAACTGCGCCTTTGGAAACACACCTAGCTGGGTCAGTTGGCTTTTAATGAATCTACCTTCTGCCAGTCCTTAATTATTAGAGAAATGCTTACAGTGACCAGCACATACACTGCTGCTTGGACACCCTGAAGGGACCTGGGATATGCTACAATGGGTTTTTGAGCTGGCTCTGATGGTGCATCTCTTGCTAAATGCCTTGGCATCCTTCAGGGAGGGGTGGAAAGATAAACCTGTGTCAGTTGAAAGGAAGTGCAGAGGGAGAGGCTTCTGGTGTTTGGTGTGACACCATATTGGGACCAGTTGAGGGAACTCCCTTTTTCTCATGAGTGACCTTGAAACCTGTAAGAGGGGCTCCAACTCCTAAGGATCGTGTACAGTGTCTCTACACAGACCATCTGTGGTATCCTAAGGATTTTACCAAAAATATATTTTGGTTTGCAAATTCAAAAAATTTTAAGACTTAGGGAATCTCCTCCATCTTCCAAAATTTTCAATTTCTTGTAGACCCATTAGTGTTGAACCAATGCTTTTTCATGTCTAAGTTCTTTGTATATGCATTCTTTTCAGATGTATTAAAGTATCTTCACAAGCCTGCCTGAGGGTAGTTATTTCCTTTGCCTTTCTCCTGAGTGTGAAGGAGTTGTAAATATGGCTTTTATCCCTTGTGAGTCCATCTCTCCTCCTTGTGAGCTAGCTTGGGTCTTTCCTTAATGTCTAATCCTTGTCAGTCTGCTTCTGGCCTCAGTCCTGTCAAAATTGCTCTAATCTTTCATGCAACATCTTTGCTGTCAGACCCCTATTAAGAGAGGGTTTGGTAGTTCTCAACAAAATAAATACTCAGTGTGCATGCTCCCAGATAGTAAAAGCTGGCTTTTGGGGCTTATTGGGCTCTTGTACCTCTTCTGTCGAGTTTCTTGTTCCCTGCTCATGGGCAGATTGCAGAAAGCCTAAAGGGACAAATGACATACTTATCCCAAAACTGCACACACTTCATCACACCTTTTTGTTCATGCTTCAGAAGAATAGTGAATTCTTACACTGTTGATGATAACTTGTATTTATTGTTAAAATACATTAGCAAGAGCCTCGCTTTTCTTTTAAGAAGCTGATTTTTGTGTACTCTAATCGCAAATCTTAGTGTAAAATGTGTGGTTTTTACTTTTCATAGTGATTAGTGTTGCTGTTCAGCTTTGCAATCTAGTTTTAATTGCTGCCTTCTGTGGGAAGGTTTGGCTGGAACTCTGGGCTTCCTGGAGAAAATTATGCTGGTACTTGTTGGTGGCTGTTCTTACAGTTTCTTCACCTTGTAACAGCTAATTCTAATTCCTATGTCTAAACACAGTAGCAAGACCAAGGGATTGCCTGCAGGAAACTGCCTTGGGCATGGAGGGAGAGCCCTTTATGACTTCTTCAGAGTTACCCTGTCAAGCCTTTTCTGTCTTGGATATGCCCAAGTGGTCCCTCTGCATACATCTTCATGGCAGTGATCTCTGCCAGTCCTTTCAGCTAAGCAATAAATAAAGTCTGTTCTGTTGAATCAGGGCTACAAGGTTAAACTTGGCTCTGGAGGGAATCCAGGAGGTACTAGATGATGGAAAAGCATACTTTTCAAGGAGTGGTGCTGTTTCCCTTCCTCCTAGTGTTGCATTAGCTTTGCAGAAGTCTGATAGCTCCCTGGATCTGCTGGGACATAGCTGTCCCAGGCCTGTGACTGGTTAAACAAGCTCAAATGCTCTCCTGCTGTTTCACACTGTGCCTGCTTTTTTCTGGAGTGAGGCAGAGAGGTTTGTCTGAGGCCAGGTGTGGGAGGTGTGCTCTCTCTTGCCAGGTTCTTGAATGAGCTCTGTGGTGACTGTCTTCTTTCCTGTATGAAAGCATGAAAAACTGTCAGAAGCTGGCAAATCCACCACCTCCTTCCCCTTCTGGAACTGCTACTTTCAGCTCATGGGATTGAGGGCACAGGGCTTGAAGGCAGGTGGGAATATGTGGCACTTGTTCCATCCTGATATGGCGAACGAGTCTGTAGTGTGAGCTGGGATTTCCTCATGTTGCTGACACAGGATTTGCCTCTGCAGATGTACTTGAGGCTCAGGGCTGTTGTCCTCTCACCTGTGAGGGCTACTGAGGTACCTGCACAAACAGAACATGAGGTTTGGACTGGCTGCCTAGCCAGCTGCTACATAAAATCTGAGAAACCCAGACTGGTTTGGGATAGAAGGGACCTGAAAGTCCATCTCATTCCACCCCCTCCATGAGCAGGGACACCTTTCACTAGGCTAGGTAGCTCCAAGCCCTGTACAGCTTGGCCTTCCACATACTAATGGAGTCCTGTGTAAAGGGCCAGACATCTCTGATGGGAAGATGCCTGAGAATTCTGTCAGGCTTGGGCTGGGGGCTGCATGGAGCTTTGTGTTTTATTGGCTGGGACACTGCAATTTCTTATTAAAATCTTTGGGTTATTCATGCAAGTCTTTTACTAAACAACCACTTCTTCCTACAGAAAGGATTAGTTTTGTGATTTGAGGGTTTTGGTTGGCTCTTATTTTGAACCTCTAGTTCCTAATGTTAATCAGGTAGTGAGCAGAGTTCTTGCTTCTGTTGGCTACTCTAAGCAAGGGGCACTTGATGAGCTGGTTGTTGTCTCTGAAGCAGGGATCATCTCTTTTCCCTGTCTGGGCTGTGTGTTCCCACATGTCCTTCACATCAGCTCCATTAAGCTGTACAGGGAGACAGTTACATTCAGGAACTGCATGGAAATGTGACATCTTGCACCATATTTTCCTGCTGAATTAGTGGACTCTGTTTTTCAGGGTCAAGCTGATACCAAAAAGAGTGCAAGGGAGGAGGTAGGAAAGCAAATCTGCTGTAGAGGGTTAGGGAGTAGGTGGGAGCATGCCCACAGTGTGAGCACTGCAGCTGTATCAGGTAAATTCCTGTGTGCTGTGAGGACAAACAGCATGAATCCACTTGTTTTCCCACTGTGCTGTTGACATAAGGAAATCGGGGACTAAATAGGGAAGTAGTTAATGTGGAAAAAAGCCTTGCCTCTTGCAGGGGACATACTTGCATCTGAAATCCAAACCAAGACACTGGACTCCAAGGTTGATTACTAGTGGGAAGAGTGCTCCAGGGCAGCAGTCACTTTCCTGAGCAGAAGATAATTTTAAGCATACCCTAAGCTCCCTTCCTTGCTGATTTAGATGGTATGTGGAAATTTTCCACTGTCTGTAAGTTGATTCAGCTAATCCTGCTGTTTCTGTACCTTCTGGTGCAGGCAATAGACTCTGCATGGCTGCTGTAATGCCAACTGGTGCTTAAGATTGTATTAAACTAGTGCCTGTTTTATCTTGCCAAGCTTTCCTGTGCTCTACTATCATGCTGGAGTCATGAGCCTTTTCTTGCTCTCCCTTGCCTGTTTCCTATGGGGCAATAGGAAACTGTTATGCCATGGAAGAAATGGTACTGTTGAACATCAGATATAGTGAGGGTCATCTTTACTGCAGTGTTTGGGAGATCAGTGAGACAGGCTGAGCTCTGCAAGTTCCCCAGAAGGCAGATTCTTTGGTCAGCTGTGTTCTTCACTCCTCTCCTTCCCAGTGATGTGCTGGGCATTATACATAGTGTGGCCCTAATTAAAATATGGGGAGGAGGAGAGATGGGCACATTTGACAGAACCTCTGAGAGAAGAGCTTTCAGGAGCAATGGCATCTTCCCCAACACAACCGAGTCAGCCAGGATTCTGAGCAGTTGGTTTCATGGCATTACACAAACCTGTCACACACCCCCAGTTAGGTGTTCCCTGTGGCCTTGAAGGGCTTTCTGAGGATTGTATGAGTTCATCCGACCTGGGATGGTTCCCTTTGTGCTTCACTGTCTCTGCCTGGATTGTGTGTCTATCCTTCCTTTCCCAAGGGGTTCTCAGAAAGATTTGACAATGCAGCTATGCAGCTGCTTTAGTATTACATTGGATTGATGTACAAATCTCCTGAGTTTGCTGTCCTTTCTGTGCTCTGTGTCACATCCCAGAGTGGTTTTGGAGTGTGCTAGTGGGATTTGCACTAGATGAAATGTAAGTGGATATTGCCCTCCAGTAGAGAATGGATTTGGGTCATTGGGGCGTGACTGGAGGAAATTTGAAGGGCTCCCAAAATCTCAGCGTTGCTGTTGGGTTGGTTTTGCTTGGTGGATCTGCTCCTGCTGCTCCTGCTGCTTGCTGCTGCACACAGCTAACAACAGACCAATGATTTTGTCATGTTCCCAAGAGACAGCAGTGTTCTCTGGTACTTGGCCACCATCTAGGTCTCCATGGGAGATGGCAGCAGCTGCTTCCTTTTAAAACCAGACTGAGGGTACTTGCAAGAGCATTGTCAGCACTGGCCTGACCCAGCCTTCCTGCTGCCTTAACTTGTGTGAACCAGCCTCTCTCTCTCCCTGTCTGGCTCTTTTCCATGGGGTGCTTCTGGGGTGCTTGGAAGGTGTCTTACTTTGCTTCCCCTGACTGCCCCTACTCCACATCCTCTGAAAAGCATTCCTCACTGTTGTTCCTCTTTAAAAAGATCCAGCATGACAGAGGAAATTACTGCTTCAAAAACTGCAAAGAATAATCCTGAACTGATTAATTTATGAATAAACAAGTTCTAGCTACTGAAATGCACTCGTGAATTTCTACTAGTTTTGTCACCTTGGTCCCATTGGTGATCTGTCCCTTTCATGAGCTGAATCAATTCCTGAAATCGAGCCTGGGAAAAAAGCAGCCGTGCTCTGGGAGTTGGCTGGAGCTCTCTGTGACCTTCTGCCCTAAATGACTTGTCCAGGATTGCGCAAGAACCCGTCAGCACTGGCGCAGGCTGGAGCTCAACAACAAGGTTATCTTAGCTAAAGATCCTGCTGCCCTGCCACCGACACAGCCCAGGGCTCCTCCCTCTTGTTCCTGCCCGACCAATTCCTCACTACAGTGAGGTGAGATGAAAATACAGCTTATCGTGGGCTTAGGATAAAAGCCTGAATGCAAAATAAATTGACTGTAGAAGAGGTGGAAGAGCTTGGTTGAGGGACAGGAGAAATCCTGATCTGCATGTGGGCTTCTGTCTGATTTTGTGGGTTCTCTTGGCTCTAGATTATTGGGTTATATATATATATATATGTAATATAGATTATTATGGGGTATTGTTTTTAGACCCATCCTGATGCTGCTACCCTCTGCCTACTGCTCAGGTTTGGCAGACGGTCAGAGTAAGCAAGTGGATACATTTATCTGATCACCCCCTAATGCAGATGTTAGTGAATTTACTAACTTTGCCTGGGAGGTTTTTGGCTGGAATTGTCAACGTGAGGCCTGTGAGCTAAGGACCAGCTGAACATGGACCCAGCTGGACCCTGTGCAGTGTCAGGTGCCTGGCCCTTGGCTGTAGGCAGAGCTTGCCTGGGGCACGGATGGGGAGGCAGCTCGTGGCCCCTGCAGGGCAGTGTGTGTGTGCTGGGCTGTCCTTGCAGTTCATACAGTGCCCGTGTCTGTGTGTGTGTGTGTGTGTGTGTGTGTGTGTGTGTGTGTGTGTGCCTGTCCGTGGTGCGTTTCCAGCTGCCCTCTGGTGGTTTGTGACAGAAGGGCTGAGGTTGGAATTTGGCCCCTGTTCCTGACGTCGTGAGAGCTTCTGCTGCCAACGGGAACTTGCGGAGCTGAGCGAGCCTTGGAGGAGAACCCGCAGGGTGGGACATGGCAGGGTCGAGCCCTGCAGCCTCCTGGGTGACGTGCAGTGCTGCCTGGCTCATGGAGCTGCTGAGAGAGCCTGATGAGGTGCTCAACGAATGGACTGTAAGGGTCATACAGGTTGGTTCCTGCATGGGAGGCGGCCTCATGTTCCAAGGTGAGGGGGTGGAGTTCTGGAGCAGGAAAATGCAGACTAAAATCTCTACAGCACACATCCTCATGGGCTTGAGCTCTGAAGCGCAGGTTTGCTATCACCTTTAATCTCTTGCCATCAGTATTAGTGCTGGAATAAACTACATAAATTAAACCAGATATGTACTGAGTTCCTGACCTTTAGTCTTGATGCATGTGTGAAAATACTTCTGTTTTGAATTTCCAGCTTTTCCTTGGTTTTGAAGAAATCAGGACCCTGCTGAGGGTTGTGTAGGGCAGCCTGGGGTGACTGCCTGCACACAAGGGAAAGTGTATGTGCATCTATTCACCCCGTGCCTCTTCATGCTGCAACTCTCAGCCTGAAGTGGCTGTGTAAATGATGTTTTCAGTGTGTGAGGAAGAAGCCTAAACCCCATAATATAAGGGATGTACTGGTCCTGTCTGTACAGTCCCTGGAAACCCTATCCAGAGCTGGACACATACTGTGTAGGGTTAGCATCTCTTACATTGGGGTGATGGTGCTTACCAAAGTCTACCTGTAATTGCATGGGGAGGAGAGAGGATTTCTTTCCACAGAGGGGAAGGGTTGGTTACTTTATCCAACACCTAGCTCTGGAAGGATGGGGGTGCCAGAAGCAGAGTGCTGCATACATCTTCCTTGAATTTAATATAGGACCTGGGTCTGGGCTGCTGTCCCATGCATAGCTGTGACAGCCTCCCTGTGCTCCCAGTGACATAGTTACAGCTGGAGGGAGCTTGCCCCAGGAGAAACACACCTCTTGGCCCTTACTGAATGTTCTGGAAGAATCAGATTGGAGCAGAGGTTCCCTTGCCAGATGCTGTAGCAGCAGTGAAGCCCGTGGGTACCTTACCTCCTCCTTCATAATTCTCTGCTGGTTTATTGGTGTTCCTCTTCCCATCAGGTGGGAACCTTCAGAAAGCCCTGTGCTCCTGATCTGCAGCTAGTCCTGGCTTAGATCATGTGTTTCCCAAATCTCCTCCCTCTTACCTTTCACGATTGGCTGTCCAAGGGGAACTGGAAATGCTACACAATGCTGCACACTTCCCAGAGCTCGTAGCAAGGTGAGCTCCTCCTTGATGGTTTCTGAGTTGTTGGCTGGCTGTGACCTGCCTGTGCCATGCTGGGCTGTGCACCTTCCTTATATCCCAGGGTCAGTGTAGGGTGAATTCCCTTTAAATGCAGCTGACACTAGCGGGGGCAAAACTGCAAACATCAAATGATGATGGGAGCTTACAAGACTTGAGACCTGATGTGTCTTCCAGGCAAGGTAAGTGACTGCTTTGGCCCTGAAGGAGTGTTTCAGCCCCCCCAGCCATGGCCTGGCTGCACAGCCAACTCCTTCCTTCCAGCCTGTGTGTGCTGCAGAGGTGCAGGACTGTGCCAAGTCCATGGAAGATGCTTGGATATATGTGGGAACTTACAGCATGAGAAAGGCTTGTCCTGGAAACCTACTCTAGCTTCTTCCCTTCTCTTGTGGAGAGTCTGAACTGGGCACCACTTTTAGAAACTGCTGAGGCATGATCCTGGCAGCCAAGAGGCTTGGTTCCTGTGAGCCTGGTGAGCTCTGAGCTCTGGCCATGTCTGAGTGGTTCTGCTGCACAGGAGAAGCCACTCCATTTTCTGGAAAGCAGAGCAGGCAGAGGCAGGAGAGTAGGGTGAGGGGTGGTGGGCTGGGGGGGCTGTGGTGGGGCTGCCTGGTTGTTCTCTGCTTTTGTCCAATATGTGGTTTTAAGAGACATTGGTAGCCCACTCTGGAGCACAGCATCCCTGGCTTCATTCCTGGTGGTCACATGCTGGGACATGCAGGTGGCTGCTGAAGTCACTGCTCATGGCAGGGGGTACTCAGGAACCGAGGGGGTTGTTATGGCAGATCATAGAGTCCTAAAATTGTTTGGGTTTGAAGAAACCTTACAGATAATTTAGTTGCAATCGCCTGCCATGGACAGGAATACCTTCCACTAGACCAGGTTTCTCCTGTCCAACCTGGCCTTGAACACTTCAGGAATGGGGCAGCCACAGCTTTTCCAGTTCCCTGGAGGCATTTAGCCCTACTTCAGAGCTGGAGTCTCTTGTGCCAGCAAAGGGTGAGGTAACAAATGTTGATTGAGCCATGACTGTGTGGGGTTGGATCCTGGTGGAAGATAATCCCTGCTCAAAGCCAGGACTGTGGCTCCTGTAGAGCGAATCAGAGATTTGTGAGCACAACTGGTGTGACATGGGACCCTTTACTCACTTGCTGTGGGTGGGACAGTCTTGTCCTGTGTTGCCTCCATTCAGCCCAGCTCACAGAAGTGTGCACCAGTAACTGCAGCTTTCCAGGGATCTGCACCTGAAGCACAAAGAAAAAGCCTTTTCTATGAAGCTGCATTTCCCAGCTCATCTTCCACTGCTCCAGCAGTAAACCAGGTAGGTATTGGTGTAGGCATGGTATTTGCATTCGGGTGTTTTTTGGATTTCGGGATGAAGAAATGAACCCACCAAGCCCTAGTGAGGCTGGCTGGCTGTATATTTTGGCTCAGGCAGATAAATCTGGGTTTCTGCACAGATTCTGACAGTGGTATCCAGGCTCCAGGGATGCTGTGAGGCTGCAGGCCTTTTTTTACTTCCTTTGAAATAATGAAAAAGGGAAGACTGAATAAAAATAAGTCTATGGCAAACGAGGGCAAACCAAAATATGCTAAGTAGCTAAAGCTTGTTTAAAATAAACTTGAAAATGTTTTGCACAGCATCTTCTTTTGTCGTTTGACATACTGATCACTGATTTGGGATGTGCTTGGATAAGATGGGAATTTGTCACTTTTGTGCAGTGGGGGAACAGGTGGAGATGGAGCTGGCTGCAGGAAATAATCTGGAATTTCTCACTGCTGCTCAGGTCGTGCATTGCTGGGGCATGTGCAGACAACCTCATCAAGGAGTCCCCTCCTCTGGTGATGAGGCTTTACCTGGGACCAAATCCAGCATTTGGATTGGTAGTTTTCCATTTTCCTGTCATATTCAGGATGGCTGCACCACTCCTGAGCTCCTTTTCTCCAGGCTGAGGCCCCCCAGCTCCCTCAGCTGCTCTTGGTGCCCCAGACCCTTTCCCAGCTCCATTCCCTTCTCTGGACATGCTCCAGCCCCTCAATGTCTTTCCTGTCATGGGGAGCCCAGAACTGACCCAGGGTTGGAGGCAGGGCTCCCCAGTGCCCAGCACAGGGGACAGTCACTGCCTGGTCCTGCTTTGCCACCAGCCTCTTGCCCACCTGGGCACATCTGGCTCATGTTCAGCACCCCCAGGTTCTTTTCTGCTCAGCAGCTTTCCAGACTTTTCTGCGTGCCTGGAGCACTGCCTGAGTTCAGGACCCAGCCCTTGGCTTTGTTGAACCTTGTGCAGTTGGCCTTGGCCCATCAATGCAGAGTGTCCTGATCCCTCTGCAGAGCCTTCCTGCCCTCCAGCTGATCCACACTCCCACCCAGCTTGTGGTGACTGTGATGGCACCCCCCTGGCTGCCTGGGGTGGGTTTCTGGGCTCTCACCACATGAGCACAGCCCCCTTGCCCTGATGGATGTTGTCCCCAGCCATGTTGCCCAGAGCTGGGCTCTCATCTGCAGGATTCTTTGCAAGGCGCTGCTCGCTGTCTTGCCTGCACTGCAGAGCTCTATGGGGCTGAACGGGGACACCGCCGTGCCCCAGCAGAGGTGAGATCCGGCTCTCAGGACAGCCGATGTCAGCTTGTCCCCAGCCCACTAGATGGCAAACATGTAAAGGCTTTGCTCCTTCCTGGCCAG